CACGCACACACACACACACCCCATTAAACAAAAACAAAAACAAAAAAGTCCTGGTGGAGGCAGACAATAGGAGGAAGAGGAAATGCTGATAAACAAATAAAAATGGGGAAATGAACCAACATCCAGTTCCAGGAACTGCCAGGAAGAGATAAGGGGGGGTGGGGACAGAAAAAGACCCTCGCTCCCCTTTGCGTGGGTCCCCCTGCAAGATAACAAGTTCAGCAGAGATACCCTGTGGAGGAGTTTCTAACATCAAAATCATTTGATCATCCTTCTCTCGTGTTTGCTCTTACTGGGTCACAGGGGACAGGGAGGCGGTCCCCACCCCTCAGCTCTGACCTCCTTCCTCAGCCCCATCAACCTCTCGGGTGTCCACGTCACCCTCAGCCTCCCTGTGGCCTCTCCAGCTCAGACAGTGGGGCTCAGTCGGACAACAGCCTCTTCCCAGCCAAAGGGTGAGAGAGGCAAAGGGGACTTAGTCAAGGAGATGGTGGTGGGCAGGTGGGGACAGAGCCCGCAGCTGTGCACCCGAGCCCGCCCAGTGAGGCCTTCCGTCCTTCCACAACGCCCCTGCCTCTCGTCCTGGCTGCAGCGCTGTCTCCCACCACCCACGCAGGTACTTACCCACAAACTTCAGCCCTGGAACAGGAGCTCCCAAGCTTACAATTAGAGAGACCCAAAGACGGAGCCTGGGGACAGGACCAGGAGCAGAGCCAGTGGCGACAGTGTGAGGAAACTGCTGCGGAGGGAGCAGCCAGGGCACAGGAATGCAGGAACACGGGGAAAGTTCTTGGTGCTCTACCCCCACACCCCCCATTTCAGCACTTCCCTAGTGACCTCCGGGTCCTCATGGGGTCTCCCCTGTGGCTGCTCTGTGCATACTTCCTGCACCCCACAATCCACACCTTTCCTTTCCCTGCTCCAGGGCAGCTTACATCGATCGGTCGCCCATGATATGCAGAGGACCAGTGAGAGGCTGTGCTTGAGTCAAAGGTGGGCACTGAACACAGTCCCAGCCCCCAGGGGCTCATAACCTGGCGAGAGGGAAAGAAGAGCACCCACATTCAGGAGAGTCAGACGGTGGCATGGGAGCTTGTTGCCGTCCCAAGCACTGTAAGGTCTTCTGTAAGGTCGCTGAACTTCATAGTCTGTCGTGCACCGTCCTGTGGCCTGCAGTTACTGTGCCCGTCATCCCAGCGTAGCGGACAGCACTGCCTTTCACTC